ACCTAAAAAAATTATCAAGGTTAAATCAAAAGTTCTTATGCACTTCCAGTGATACTTGTCTAAGTCAGTAATTCTTAAGTAGTATAGGACAGAGAACCCTCTTAGAATTTTCAACTCTTATATCTGCACTGCTGCTTCATTCTCACAACAAAAATAATTTTAAAATCACTAATTATAGAGAGCCACCATTATAGGTAGGAGTATATATTCTCTCTCTGGTATGTCAGGATCGAAAACATACTGAGAACTATTGGAGGCTTAATGTTGCTGCTGAGAGACTATGATGGCTCCAGAATTTTATTATGATTAAATGGTGAGCTTATGCAGCACAGAGATAGTCCAGTGTCTAGAAGTTATTCACAGGAGTTTTTTTTTTTTTTTTTCTTCTCTGGATCTCTTTTAATTTTTCCATTTAACATTATAATTTTAAAAAGGAAAAACTGTACATGAAGTTCTTATGAAGACCTGATTTTCTTCTTAGAATAAAAGGATAACTCTCCTATTGTTGCATGTTATAATCATATATATAGTTCAGTATTGTGGTTGTGTTTTAAAATTTTGAGGACCAAATGTATACAATGAAAACAAACTTTATGTGGAAGTCATTTAAATACCTTTTATGGCTCTTAAATGTTCTCCCTTGTGATTATAGCTCTATGGTAGAGAGATGCACCATATGTCCCTACCTGGCTGACTACTACTTATACTTAAGGTCTCATCTTAGAAATGACTTCTTCCCAAAGAACTCCAAATACTTGTAGACATGTGTTTTAGAGTACTCTTAACTTATCCATGCTATAACATTATCAGAGCATTTTTTCATTGTTCATTCATTCATCTGCAATTGCCCCTGACAAGGGAGGGAATGTATCTATCTACTTCGTGTAGTCCAGCAGGGTGTCTGACATATGACAAGTGTTTTTATTCAATTATTCTTATTTTGTAACTGCCCTCCATATAAATATTAAGGATGTCAAATAGAACTCTTTTACCAAAACCTTTTTGAAATGATGCATGGAAAGGAACAATGCAGTTTAGACAAGTAAATACAAAAAAAAAAATGGTTATAGGTTTACCATATTTATAACATTATTTACCAGGGATAATAAATATTATTTTATTTAGTTCCTACACATTCCAGGCAGTTTCTATAACTCTAATTATTCTCTAGGGCACCAAACAATTTCTTACAACTAGTTCGTTTGCTAATTTTATTTCTTATATTGAATAATTCAGTTTAATTTATTACATATTTACTGAGATGATAAGAGAAAAACAAGAGAAAAAAACGACAAACTAGACAGTGTTGACTACTTGTTAACATGAATAATTTTTCAGTTTTTATAAGGTGGGGGAGAAAAACAGTAGAGAATTGAGTTTAAATAATTGGGGTTCTTTATCATTAAATCATTTATTCAAGGGCATTTATATCAACTAGAAAAAGCATTTTGACAGCTGGTAGTCACACATAGCCTAAAACAGTCAATATATTTTAAAAAACAAATCAATAATTTTTGAAGATACTTCAAACCATTAAATATAGAGGCAAGACTACCATTCTGAATTATCATAAGGAGTCTATGTGGAAGAATCAGGAAACTTCTAAATGTAATTAGTTCAAATTTAGAATGCATCTTGTGTTATAGAAAAACAAACCAATCATTTTATCATTTTATTATTAGCAATATATTTATATTAGCAATATATCTGACATCTATAGGAGATGGGAAAGACTGATTATTTTTAATTGGGAGCATAATCTTAAATATTTTCCTTCACTTAAAAATTACTTACTATACAGGAGATGGCTTTACAACTGTAAAATGATGCAGGAGAAAAACAAGTCAACCTACAACAAAGTATGATGTAGCTACGAAAATGATTATATGCATAAAAATTCTTATACTAGTTACATATTTGAACAAGATTCACTGAATTCTACACCTCAGGCATATCACATCAAGTGTGCATGAAATAATAATATCATGACAGTGCTTCCAAAGGAAATACCCTAAGATTCTTTGTACAAGTCAGAACAATAAGAGATACACAATAAGAGATACAGTTGATTTACAGCTAACTGAAGAATTACTGTCAAGAAGCTTATGCTTTCTTTATCTTGGAAACATGTTAATTCTTTAAAAGATTATATATATGGAAAGAGAGAGAGAAACAGAGAGACAGAAAGAAAGAATATATATACAAACAGAAATAAATGGCAACAATACTTTTTGAAATAATAAGAAAAATTTCTAAGCTCAAATTTCTAAGGTCAAACATACATCTCTTTTTTGGATATAAGATTAGTATGTAAATTATTTTAGTTGTGATGAGTTCTGCAAGCATATTAAAAATAATCACTAGTTTATTTAACATAATTCACTTCATTAGCATGAAAAAAAAGATTTTACCCAATACCTATGCTGACAAAAAAATCTATTTAAATTTAAAATTGTAATTTTATGTTATCATGATAAAATGATTTTCATTAGGAACTACACCATGACCAAGAAGAAAATACAACTTACAACTGTTTAATACAGGAAGTTGTAGGGAAGGTTTGGAATAAGTTACAACATAGGGGGAAAGGATATAAATATTATTTTATTTAGTTCCTACACATTCCAGGCAGTTTCTATAACTCTAATTATTATTCTGGCTAGGTAAGGTATATGGCACAAGTTTATTGGGAGGGACTCAGATAAGAGGTAAGTACAAGTGAATGTGCTAACCAGAGTCCTTGCATGTGCAAGCTGTCTGTAAGACCCTGGATAATTCATTTACCTCAACTAGGCCTTGAATTACAGGTGAGTAAAGGAAGGATGGTTTCTAGATCCTGTTTACTTGTAACATTAAGAAATTCTGAATGTTTGAAGTTGAAGCCATTTTTAATCTTCACATCCTATAGTTGTCACTAAAAACTACAAAATGTACAAGAAAGCCTTAAAAATAAAATAAACAAATTAACCACTTGTAGCATACAGGTAGGGCCAAATTATATACTAAAACCTGATAAATTCAGTGAGGCCAGGTTTTTTGTTGTTGTTGTTGTTGTTGTTTGTGTGATTTTTTTTTTCCTTTTTTCTTTTCTATTAACTGATTATCACTCAAAAAGATGCCTCTCCCTAGAAACAATAAAATATAGGACCCTGTCCTACTTTGGCTATAAACTTATATAAAGAAGTTTAAACTATCCAAGAAATTAAAACAGTTATAGTGACAGATTGGCTGCTTTTCCTGCTGTACAAATTTATTATCTTCCTAATTTTTTACACCGAATTAGTTGGCATTAACAATAAACTCTATAGTCCAGGTGAGTAGAAGACATAACCTCAAAACTGAAACTCAGCAAGGTTCTAAATTAAGAGATTCAATTTAAAAATGAAGTGAATTACAAATAAAAAAATATGTTGATATAGAGGATAAGAATTCTAAATCATCCTATGGAAAGCAAACATTACAAGATAATACTTTTAATCCATATGGGCCATTTTATAGCAATCCTAAGTATTTTAAAGAAATTACCTAATTTTCATGACATGTCTGTGAAAGTCAGGTATTAATTAATTTTTTTCCAAAGAAGGTAAAAAAGTGTGCACGCACGCGCGCGCACACACATGCACACACAATTCCACAGGAATTATACCAAAGATACTCACTACCAATGACATAGCTTTCTATTCCATATCTACAGTAACTTGTGAAAAAAGGTTCTTAGCCCAGTGATACATGATATTAATTAAATTGTCTCATCTTTTTGAAAAATATTTGACTTCCTACAAGATGTAAGTACAGAAACAGTGTATTTCCTTGCTTAGCATTTATACTAATGACGTAGCTCAGTATCTGCTACACTGCAGGAACTCAAATGAATAAAGACTATTAATAGTAGCTAACAGTTACTAGAACTCTTGCATCAGGTACTGTAGTAAATGCATTACATATATTATTTCATTTAATGCTACAAATAGTTCAATGAAACAAAATATTATTACTTCTCATTTTACTGGTAAGGAAACTGAAGGCCTGGTTAAGTAACTTGTTCAAGATTACATGATAGAGGAAGGATTTTAAAACAAAGGTAGCTCAACCTTAGATCAAGATTATAGAGAAAGAGCCTTACACTAGCCGTAAGAAACTCTATCTATAGTCTAGTCCCTTTAATTCCATTTCCTTAAAGAGAAAGGAAATTTTAAAAATGATCTTTTGACTCTTTAGAATGCCTGGCATAGTACTTTAATTCACAATATTCTTCATCAAATGTTTCCTATTAAAATTAAAATCTCATGAACAAATTAGGTTTCACTGTTCTCAACAATAAAATGGAGATACCTAAGTTATCTGCACAGTCTACCTCAATGGTTCTAAGTGTGTGGTCCAGAGATCTGGAAATTTTATTGAAATGCAAATACCCAGGCTCCACTTCAGACTTTATGAATCAGAAACTGATGTTTTAACAAATCTTCCAGTCATGCTAACATCTGAGAATCAGGGTCTATTTTGTAGAATAATTATGAAGATCAAATTAGTTCAACAGTGAACCCTAAAAGAAGAACCCTAAAAAGCAAAACCTGTATCATCATCATTATTAAAATACTAAATTACACTCCTTGGAAAAAACACAAGTAATTTTATTAATCTAAACAGAAATGAATATGGGAAATGAAATAGATCATAAAATACTTTCCAAATAAAATACTGTTCTTCTGGATTTTATTTGGATAATGTAAGCACTCATGGATCCAGAGTAAAAGATGACTATGATCCATAAAATTATACTTAGAAATCTGATAATTTGGGGCTGGGGTTATGGCTCAGGGGTAGAACATTTGCCTAGCATGTATGAGGGGCTGGGTTCGATCCTTAGCACCACATAAAAATAAATAAATAAAATAAAGATATTGTGTCCAACTACAACTAAAAAATAAATATTTAAAAAAACAAAAGAAATCGATAATTTGATCATGCCAGAGGCCTGACATGCTGTACAAGCTCCTTACCTGACCAGTGTCCAGTGGAGACACCAGATCTGTCTGTGCATGTCTCACTTACAGGTCTAAACACAGTCTCCCATCCACCAGTAGCATAGCGCCAATTCTGAGATTCCAAGATGAGTGTCCGTTGGGTGCCATAGGCAATCATGAAGCAGTAGACCACATGATGGAGTTGACAACCATAGCCACAGCCTTTGTTTATGTTACACACCAGTTTCTTGGCTTTGCTACAGTCCTTGGGATTCTGTCAAAGAGAAAAAGATAGGAAGATGAAGATAAATGTAGAGAGAGGTCAACTTTTCTTCACAAGTGATAAGTAGCAAAAATAATAAGAAGCCAGGACTGATTCAGTGTATTTCTTTTTTTAAAAAAATATTTTGTTGTTGTTGTTGTTGTTGTAGTTGGCACAATATCTTTATTTTATTTCTATATATTGTGCTGAGGATCAAACCTAGGGCCTCGCACATGCTAGACGAGCACTCTATGAGCCCCGCCCCTGATTCAGTGTATTTCTTATAGGATCAAAAATCCAATAAATGTACATGCATATGTACATGCATATTCAGGGAGAGTGCAGTGACAAAAATACTTTGAAAATATCACTAAACAAAAGTGAAATTAAGCAGTTATATTAAACAACAACAACCCTTCTCTCACTCTGTCTCTAGAATGTGCAACTCTGAACCCAAAAGTTGTAAACATTGAGATCTTAATGAAAGAAGTAAAACAGTTTATGTATTCCAGCAGCACTTTGGCATTCTGAGCTTACTCTCTGTGATAAAATTATCTTACATGAAAATTACAATTTATCTATTAAGTCCATCTATCTCCAAGTTTTAATAAAATCTACTGCTCCATTATGAAGTAAAAGGTACTGAGTAAAGGGATATCTGAATTCAACAACAAAATATCAAAGAGCTGTAAGGGGGAAAAAAATCAACCTTAATGGTAGCTATTAGTAATCTCACAACTGAATATAGAACTTGTTTTATACTGGTTATTTTAAGAATGTGTTATGTGTTATGACAAGTTTTAATTGGGAGGTCCACTTTGCTAATTTTATGCTCTCCTATAAAATGGTTAGCTAATATGAGAATTATTTTTTCTCCATTCTAAAGTTTCAATTCTGTTCTAATTTGTATGACCTTTTCCTAATAACAATTTTAACAGGCATATTTTTGACAAGGACTCTTTAGTCTGAGAAGGATTCCAGGCTGTTTGGTTCACAAGGGAAAAAAGAATGAGTGTTTCTAGGAGCAGAATCTCTTTTTTTCCCCTCAACATAGCAAGGAAAAATCAGTTCTCAATTTACTTAAGCCTTGAATAAAGCATCAAATCTACAACTACATTCTAGGGATATCATCTGTTCTGTCAAGTACAAACTTGCTTACAAAAGGTAGCATAGTGAGGCTATAAAAATGATTCTGAAGGATAATGCAATAAAGTCACTTTCAGAAAAGGTACCTTTCATAGACAAATATATCATAGCATGCTGCTCGTATTTATTTATTTATTTGGATCAAAGCATAACCTATATCATCAAGAAACTTCATAGTTAAAGCCCTTATGAATCCGAGACAGCCCTGATAAACTTCAGCAAGATTTGGTTAATATTGTTTTCACAATCAAATAGTAGTTATGGATTCTTTACATGAGACTATGAATTCAAGAAGAATCCTAAGGTAATAACCCCTGTCTTGTTGGTATAGCCACAGAAGATTAGAAAAGAATAGTGTGATGTCAAGTGGGAATGGAAGACCCACATTATTTACTCTCGCACAGTATCATACAAGGAATCCTGGGAGTAAGTGCCATTCTTGAACTAGTCCAAAGCTTTATTATTGACTCAGTTTGTCACAAAAGTAGATAAACATTGACATCTGTCAGATTTTTTTCATGATTTGTGAGAAATACAGTACTTGAACATTTCTAAAATTTATTTGGATAAAAAATTTGATTGTTGTTCATATATTTTTCAATAAACTTTTTTCTTTTAGCACTTATTAGAATTATTACAAAGTCAATACTAAGTGCTCCCATCCAGGTTCCCTTATTATCACATCTTAGTCTATTATTATATTTGTCCTTCATATTCTTTATTAAGGAAAAAAATTAAAGGGACATAATTATTAAAACATTGATCTTTAGTTTGGAAAATATGGATTTTTTTACTTAAAAGAAGGGTTTCATTTGCTTGTAAGAAAAGCACAGCTACTGTCTTTTTTAAGAGAAGAGTTTAATTAGAACCCAAGATTTTAAGCACAATAACCGAGACACAAGAGAAAGGAAAAGGCAATTTATGAAAGAGGCTTAATTCATGAAGATTAGTGTGCCTCAAATAAAGCTGAAGAAGAATATATAATTTATTTTCTGTTAGGTTATAGCTATGTAACATAAATAAAGGGGGAAACAACCATTATGCTTGATTCTGAAATGATAAGTCTTCACTCCAAGGTGAAGAAGAGAAACTGAATGACTGGAATGATAACACTAAGTGAAATCCTCAAAGTTCAGAGCCACAGCCCAAGTATTTAGTTTTTGCCAATACTTAATACTTAAATGTGTAAAAAATTCAAAGGATGTTGTTGTTCATAAAAAATCCAGAGAAACACAAGGACAGCGAGAAACAAAAAAAGTATTTGTGTTTCACATAAGATTAGGCTCACCAGTATAAAACTCTGGAAAAAAATGAATTGGTATTTTTAAGGTAAAAGGAGAGGAATTTTTTCTTCCGTTTTAAAATCAGTGACAAGTGGCCTGCTGAGAGGCAGAGCCGCCCCCACCCCCTGCGCCGGCAAGGTAGACAGAACTTTGACCACCCACAGAGCAGGCCCAGTGGCCGGCTGAGGGGCAGAGCCGCCCCCCACCCCCCGCACCTGCCAGGTAGGCGGAACTGTGCCCACCAACAGAAAAGGCCCAGTGGCCCGCGGAGGGACAGAGCTTCCAATCACTCCTGCAAGGTAGGCGGGCCTGCGACCCACCTGCAGAAGAGGAGCAGCGGCCTGCTGAGAGGCAGAGCCGCCCCCTCCCCCTGCGCCGGCAAGGTAGACGGAACTGTGACCACCCACAGAGCAGGCCCAGCGGCCTGCTTAGGGGCAGAGCCGCCCCCCACCCCCCGCGCCTGCCAGGTAGGCGGAACTGTGACCACCGACACAAAAGGCCCAGTGGCCCGCGGCGAGACAGGGCTTCCAATCACTCCTGCAAGGTAGGCAGGCCTGCGACCCACTGGCAGAAGAGGAGCAGCGGCCTGCTGAGAGGCAGAGCCGCCCCCTCCCCCTGCGCCGGCAAGGTGGACAGAACTTTGACCACCCACAGAGCAGGCCCAGCGGCCTGCTGAGGGGCACAGCAGCCCCCCACCCCCCGCGCCTGCCAGGTAGGCGGAACAGTGACCACCAACAGAAAAGGCCCAGTGGCCCGCGGAGGGGCAGAGCTTCCAATCACTCCTGTAAGGTAGGCGGGCCTGCGACCAACCGGCAGAAGAGGAGCAGCGGCCTGATAAGGGGCAGAGCCACCCCCCACCCCCCGCGCCTGCCAGGTAGGCGGAACTGTGACCACCAACAGAAAAGGCCCAGTGGCCCGCGGAGGGACAGAGCTTCCAATCACTCCTGCAAGGTAGGCGGGCCTGCGACCCACCGGCAGAAGAGGAGCAGCGGCCTGCTGAGAGGCAGAGCTGCCCCCTCCCCCCGCGCCTGCAAGGTAGACGGAAATGTGACCACCAACAGAACAGGCCAGACCTGCAACCGACAGACAGAACAGGCCCAGTGGCCTGAGGAAGGGTAGAGCCGCCCCCCCCCGCGCCTGCAAGGTAGGCGGACCTTCGACCAACTGGCAGAACAGCCCCAGAGGCCTGCAGAGGGGCAGTGCCGCTGCTTGCGCCTGCAAAGTAGGCAGAACTGCGACCACCGACAGAACAGGCCTAGCGGCCCGCAGAGGGACAGAGCCGCCGCCCGCACCTGCAAGGTAGGCGGACCTGCTACCGACCGGCAGAGCAGGCCCAGCGGCCTGCCGGCGTGGTAGGCACGTTGCCCCAATTGGAGGAGGGGCAGAGCAGCCGCCCGCGCCTGCGAGGGAGACTTTGCAACTATACAAGACCAATATAAATATATAGGGGGAAAATTCAATAGCACAACAGTTTCACCAAGTAGAAAGGAACGCGAACAGTATGAAGAGACAAGGAAAGAAAGGACCACAAGCAATGCAGGTCAACTCAACGTTAGAAGAGGTAATAGCTGCAACAGATGGAATGTGAGATAAAGAATTCAGGATATACATGCTTCAGATGATCTGGAGTCTCAAGGAAGACATCAGACAGCAAAATCAGACAATGAAAGATCACTTCAACAATGAATTACATAAACAAATCCAAGAAGCAAAAGATCAACTATACAGGGAGATAGAGGTTATAAAAAACAAACAAACAGAAATCCTAGAAATGCAGGAAGCAATAAACCAACTTAAAAACTCAATGGAGAATACTACCAGCAGAGTAGAACACATAGAAGATAGAACATCAGACAATGAAGATAAAGTATTTCAACTTGAAAAGAACATACACAGCTCAGCAACACTGTTAAGAAACCATGAGCAGAACATCCAAGAAATATGGGATAACATCAAGAGACCAAATTTAAGAGTCATTGGGATACAGGAAGGGACAGAGTTTCAAACCAAAGGAATGAGCAATCTATTCAATGAAATAATACGAGAAAACTTCCCAGACATGAAGAATGAGACAGAATCCCAAATCCTAGAAGCCTACAGGACGCCGAATGTGCAAAATCATAAGAGACCCACACCTAGACACATTATAATGAAGATGCCCAACATACAGAATAAGGAGAGAATTTTAAAAGCTACAAGAGAAAGGAAGCAGATCACATTTAGGGGTAAGCCAATCAGGATAACAGCTGATCTTTCAACATAGACTCTGAAAGCTAGAAGATCCTGGAATAACATATTTCAAACACTGAAAGAAAATGGGTTCCAACCAAGAATTGTGTATCCAGCGAAATTAAGCTTCAGGATGGAAGATGAAATTAAAACCTTCCACGGTAAACAAAAGTTAAAAGAATTTGCAGCTAGAAAACCATCTCTTCAAAACATCCTTGGCAAAACATTACAGGAAGAGGAAATGGAAAATAACAATGAAAACCAACAGTGGGAGGTAGGACAGTAAAGGGGGGAAAAATAATCAAAGAGGAAAACAAACCATGTTTAGTAACAGAAATAAACAAATATGGCTGG